CTCGGCAAAGGAGAAGTGCTCACTATCACAGATTTTTTCAGATTTGTGAACAATATTTGAGAGAAATGGTTATTTTGTGTAAATAGAAAATGTTTTAGATCTTTGAGTTCATCTCAAAAACAAAAGTGTTGCGTTTATATTTTTGTTCAGTGTATAAGTAAACAACCTTATAATCAAATCAAGTTTTATTTATATAAAACATTATGTATATATGTATTTATAAATTACAAGAATATGTTTCTCATGAATTGATGCAATGACATTGATTTTGTCATTGAATTGCTTAACTCTGTTTAATGTAATTCCAAAACTCTGTATTTAATAATAATGCATTTTAGCAGTTGTTCTAAAATGGTTTCAGGGCATTGCACTCTATAAAGGAGAAAATATAAAATGTGCTGACTGTGTCCATGTGTGTAAAACTATTCATACTTTCCACACGTCCTCTCCTGTTTCAGCCGTGATGATTTTACCAGCAATCCCCACATTCCCTCTATATTAGCTTGTGAAAAATGCACTGCATATTTCTCAGACTCTCTCTTTACCTTTTATTAAAGTAAACCTGCCATCCGTCGACAGGAGCCACATCTGTCATCAGGCGGCAGTTTATACGTGGGCATATAAAGTAATAGCTCCTAGGTTTGGGTTTTTATCAGCCTGCATTAAATCCTCACAGGAGGGTATTCTTCCGACCTCTCAGTTTAGTCCCAGTTGTCCAATAGGCTGGATGGGTTTCACAGAACAGCGGATCCTTTCTATTTTTACCACAAATCAATGCAACTTCTAATATGAGAGCGCTGTATCCAACTGCACATACAATAGAAGAAAGCATGCAGAGACACCATAAATAACATGTCTCCGGGCAAAATGTTTGGTTCAAAGTTGAAAACTTTGATGGAATCTATTAAAGTGAAGGAAAAAGTTGTGGATAAAATGTATCTGTGTTGAGAATAGAGGGGGAAAAAGGTCACAGACAAAGTAACTCCACTTCATCAGATGTGAATGCTTTGTTATAATCACCCAATCCACCAAATCCAGACCAAAGCAGTTAAACTGTGGTTTTACATATGATATAAAACCTCTCAGCGAGATAAAGGGGATTTTATTTGATATCAGATGTGAATGCAGTGGTCTGAGTTCACTTGTGTGGAGACAAGGCAAGCCAGGAACCGCAAACCAAACATTAAACTTATGTCATATTTGTGTCTTCTAAGCATGATTACTGAACAATATGACAAAAGTCTTAAAACGAGGGAACAGATTCATAAAAGGATGTGACTTTGTTCGATGTATCAATTCATGTGAGAGATCAAGTAGAGCAAGGCTTCCCTTTACCTACAACCCTACCCAAGTTGCCAATGTTCATTTAAAATGTAGGGATATCGTTCAACTATCACTGATATGAGAAAGGGTAGTGCCGATATCAATGGATTGATCAATGCGTAGGTTTTTTAAGTTTCCATTTGCAGTACCATTGCTTTTAGATAATTATTTCACCAACTTCTTGTGGACCTAATGTAACTCCTGGCTAGGCTAGATACGAATATGTAGACACTAACATAGTTAGGAACTCAAACGATTGAAATGTCTTTATCGTAATGACATAGTGTAGATAGAAAACTGAAAAAATAAACTCTGTCACGATTTGGCAATTAAGCCTTTGTCAGAGAGTCAAACACGTCAGAGTTCGTACTTATTAAGTCTTACATCATGCCATTATAATAAAGGTATTTTTTTATTGTTTCAAAAGAAAGTTCCCCTGGTGTGTTCTTATGAGATCTTTTAGAGATAAAGAAAAAGGTTGATCTTATCACCATCTCAGAAAAATGGAAGATATGCATATTTCAGTTTAGCTTACCCTAGAAACGAATAGCCTCATTTAACTTTGTTCACAGGTATAGTGTGACATTTCCACTCCACCACAAGCACGACACCACGTCCTCAGCTGTTTCACTTCTGCTCTTCACTCTCACATGGGACATCCTGTCGAAAGCATCTGCTTCTGCAGCCACTAAAACACACACAAACCTCTTATTGTTTCTTCACCATGTACTCACTGCATGAGTGTGCCCTGCAAAAGCACAGCCCAATGTGACGCACACAGGCTGAGCATATGAATGAACTGACAAGGAGCTGTTATGCTTTTCCTCCTGAAGCACTAGCTACTACAGTCACAGTGCAGAATCCATTATTGCCCCGTCCATTCATTTCCACCACCAACAAACATGATGCAGTGTCACACAGCTATGCACGTGGGATGTCAGGTTTGTAAAATGTGATAGCTGTCCTAAAAATCTGCAGAGGTGGGAAGTAGTGGAGTACAAATACTTCATTACTGTACCTAAGTACATTTGTCTGGTATCAGTACTTTACTCCACTATTTATTTTTTCTGACGACTTTTTACTTTATTTCTTACATTTTTAACACAAATACCTGTACTTTCTACTTCTTACATTTGTACTTTCTACTTCTTACATTTTCAAAACAGGCTCGTTACTTTAGTTTTAATTTGGTGGCGTGATCATTATTATTTAGAGTCATTGCGTGCCTCTTGATTTTAACACGATCCGTGTATCCTTAATTTCCTTCTCTAAAGAAGAGGGACCAATGAAAACGTTGTCATGTTGCCGTTGTTCAGCATCAAAACATTCATTAGCTAACAATGACATTATTGTTCTATTAATATAAAGGGAGGTCAGTTTCTCTTTAAAACAGCTGGTAGTTATGGGTTTTTACTTAGGAACATTTCGAAGCCCATACTTCTTTACTTTTACTTGAGTAAAGAAGTTTAGTCAGTACTTTTAAACACCAGTATTTGTACTTATACTCGAGTAAAGGATGTGTGTACTTTTTTAATCTCTGGAAATCTGTTTATGGTCAGGTGCTGTGTTCCAATCGTTGTGTTTTTAAGGCTTTTCCAGACCTTGGTCCACCCAACAATTCTGGTAATTGCTAGCCCAGAGGAAAGACTTGCTGCAATGTGTAGCAGCAAGATGCCCAAATTCACCAACTCATGGACCATAGACTGCACCAGTTTACCAGGATGGATTCAGAAACACCCACTGGATCAAATGCAGCCCATACTACTGATTGTTGCTTATCTGTGCACTGAAAACACTGTGTTTGACTCTCTCTCATTCCTTTTTTCACTCAAGTTAAAGCAATGTGAACACAGTAGAAACAAATGTGCTTCATCAACTCTTCTACAAGAACAGTAACAATGCACCATGCATATGGCAGTTCAAACTACATGGCCCTGAACAAGAAAAGCTATTAACGGAAATTAGGGATTGATGGAGACAGGATACAATAAAACAGCTAAAAGCCATTAACGTCTGAGGTCAAGCAGTTCAGGAGTTTGAACAATGCTTGGGAGTTGTAGATATTTGAAAGAGGTTCAAGGCTTGCTGTTATCTGTCCCACAGACTCTGGGACAGCAGCCAAGCCGATGCCATCTCAAGCGGAGGAACGCAAGAAAATTGCAGGAAATTCCTACTTGGTTTTATCCTATAAGCAGAAGACATTCTTTCGATTCAGGCTGCTGAAATGTTTCACAACAATGTAAGTTGTTTTTGACTGGTCGGATGATCAGCTGTATGGGACAAAAACACTGTTAAAGTTCCCCAAAACAATTAAAAGGAACAAAGAAAATGAGGAATGGCATGTTTCCTGGGAATAAGTGAGACTATTATTTAAAAAGTTATCTAAACTAAGCACTTTGTCCAGTCTGTGATGCTATGTTTGTAATTGTAGACAAGCTTTATAGGATGATTGGTTTGTACCTGAGGATTTGTTGCCACCTAGTGAAAACTCATTCACATGATAATGCTTTTTAATCATAAAACCTGTTATCCAGTCACTAACTTAAAACTGGCATGATGGATTTATTCACTACCAAATATAAAATCCTCCTAGTCCTCTGCTTTGGTTTGAATGTCTTTTTTTTAATATTAAGGCTATTAGTTTCCTCCTAGTACAACCTCACTTTATTTGCAGATGTTCAATGCCTTAATCTTTTCGATCATAGATTTATAATGACATCTCAAAGTATCTTTAGGTTTTTTTGAAAGGCTTATATATTGAAGCATCATTTTATCAAAGATAACTAAATAAGGTTCTTCTTAATTCAGATAAACAAATATAATGGCAAAACATAAGAAGATCAAAACAAAAAAACACAAGGGACCATATATATATATAAAGAATACATTAAAAAAAGGGAAATTAATATAACATTTTATAAAATACATAAAATTGATAATACATTGATGCAAACTGTATACTTTAAATAATAAATGTGTTTAAAAAGTGATAATGTTGATAACAACCATGTTAGTTAGGCACCTGGATCAGCTGAAACCACTAACCTGGAAGACTATTTTATCGCAATTTAATAAAATGTTGAGAATTAAAGTTTATACAATACTTCATCTCTGGATGTTGTAAAGCTCAGAAATATGTCAAGGATATTATTCAAATCAGCAAATGATAACTCTCAGTGAGGCATTCCTGAAATAACAATTCATCTTCAACACAAGCCTGGGGAAAGGATGCAGGGTCTCCAAAATCAGAGACCCTTTGAGCGATTTCCTTCTTCTTCAATCCCTTGAACTCACCCATTGTGCTCTGACTATTCTATTCTCAGCATCACTGTTAGTGCTGTCATTCTGACTGGTATCATGATGCTTTGCTGCCACCTGGTGCTTACATTTGTGGTACATTGTTACATTCTCACCAATGATCAGTTATGTTACTGCGGGTTTGAACAACCCCCCATCCGTTATGTGTTTCTCAACAGAAATAAAATCACCAACTATAATCAAAACAACTATACTAACAAGGGCATGAGAAAAGAGGGCAGACTCCAGGTGGCCGATAAGATGTTTAAGTTGAACTGGCCTTGAGATAGCCAAATATGTGAAAATACAGAGTTTTTCCCTCGCATCCTCTTTGCTTCTCTCTGTTGAAGCAGATCAGAGCAGTTAGAGATCCTGGCTCGATGGAGAAGAAGGTGGTTCTGATCACAGGCTGCTCCTCGGGAATCGGCCTCAGCCTGGCTGTCCGGCTGGCCTCCGACCCCGACAAAACATTCAAAGGTAACCACAGTTGACATGGACTTTTGAAGTATTCCTTTTGTGTCTTTTTAGGAAGCCTTACTGTCAGGAAGTGTTCAGGTAATGACCTTCTGATCACACCGTTTGTAATGTGATACTAGACTGGATGCTGGATGCGCTTGTGAGATGAGAAAATCATTTTGAAATCTGTATCAAGGCATGCCAGTGAGTGCTGCTTTCTGTTTAAGTGTATGCCACCATGAGAAACCTGGCCAAGAAGGAGCGTCTCATAGAGTGTGTGAAAAGCCTGCACAAAGACACCTTGGACATCCTGCAAATGGACGTGACCAGCTGGCAGTCCATCCTGGATGCGAGGGACAGGGTTGTGGAGAAACGAGTGGACATTCTGGGTATGCTCTAATGTCAGTGTGTTCTTATTAAGGGGACACAATACAAGGGGATGGAGAACGTGTTGACTAACATATATCACAGTGAAACTCCCTGCAGTGTAGATATCTGGTAAATAAAACCTTTTTTTGCAATACAAGTTTTCTGTTATGTGTAATTATGCAAATTACGGGTAATCTCATTATATATGCTATTTTGCATGAACATCTGATAAAAAAGCCCAGTTCTTCATTTTTGTTAGATTTGGTTTATCATAGTCAAATGTTTTATATGGGTAATTTTTTATATCTGTTTGGATCCCTCCCTTTATCAGAAAATACTGTCAAACGTTTCCATCATGTTGTAGGCAAAACATAATCAGGCTTTGAATGATATATAAACAAACACCTCAGTTAAGGCCTTGATATCAATACAGACAAATAGACAGGAATAAAACGGTATCCTTTGGTGTATTTGAGTGGCACGCACTGTAGTGGAGAGAGTATACAATTGTTTTGTAAAAAAACTAAAAGCAAACAAATTAGCAAGACAAACATGTCGCTGATGACGATGACCTAATATTTTATTTATAAGAAAAATATATGCTAGAGGGGGTAGGACCAGAAAAGTTTTTTTTAAGCTTCTTCTTGCCCCTGTTGAACATGACAGAGACTATCTGAGAATTATTATTATTTTTTTGTTTTGTTTTTTTTGTTATTATTTGTTTTTTGTACTTTGTTATAATTATTAATTTGAGTGAGAAAAGAAAAAAGGAAAAAAAGAGAATATATATATATATATTATTGTTGTATGTTTTTGTTTCTGACATGTTCAATAAACTGACTAAAAAAAAGAAGAAAAAAAAGTATGATAAATTGTAAAGTGTGTTAATGGGAATCTCCTCGCTGCTCACAGTGTGTAATGCGGGTGTGGGTCTGATGGGGCCGCTGGAGGTGCAGTCCTTGGACTCGATGAGGCAGATTCTGGAGGTCAACCTCTTCGGTACCATCCAGACAATCCAGGCGTTCCTGCCAGGGATGAAGGCTCGGGGTCAGGGCCACATCCTGGTCACGGGGAGCACAGGAGGGCTTCAAGGTGAGACGGGAACATCGTTGAGAAATCACTGATCGTCCTCAGTGTTCCACATGTGCAGATTTAAGAATCATTTATTGGGAATGTCGAAAAACATGTTGTGTTGATGCTTGCTGCCATGCATGAAATTGCCAAAATAACCCATCTTCATGCTTCATCCTCTCTCACAGGTCTCCCCTTTAATGAGGTGTACTGCGCCAGTAAATTTGCAATAGAGGGAGCATGTGAGAGTTTGGCAATCCTCCTGCAACACTTCAATATCCAGTGAGTCTCTGCACTTTGTTTCCTGAGTTCAGAGGCAGTTAACAGTCAACTTAAAGTGTTAACTATATGCTTCATCCTGCAGTGTGAGTCTTGTTGAGTGTGGTCCAGTGAACACTGACTTCCTGGTGAACCTGCAGAAGGCAGAGCTCGGGGACACATCTCTGCAACAGGTCGATGACCTCACACTCAACCTCTATGAAAAATACCTGCAGCACTGTGGCTCTGTTTTCCAAAACGCAGCCCAGGACACTGAGGACATTGTGAAGGTATGCTGTGTCATACAGTAGAGTGTATTAATTTCTCTTGTGTACATTGCCTTGTGTTTTTTATGCTGCTGCAACGCAAACATTTCCCAAATTGGGATCAATAAAGTACCTATCTTAATCTTAATCTCTTAATTTTAGAGCGTAAAATCATAAATTATAAAGATACTGGTGGAAACAATTGATTTTTAAAATGTGGGTTAACTATTTTGGCTGTTATGCTGATTAAATATAATGATTGAAGATTTCATTATTTTAGGTTTTTATTCTGAGAAATAAACTGGAAATCTAGACAACACTTCCCATAAAACCCAGGACACATTAAACATTTCAGATTTACAGACTCCAATCTAAAACATATACTCTAATCTGCTATCTGAATGTTACATATGTATGCCTGCTCTGGCAGGGAAACTATCACGCTGGAGCTGGGTCACACTTTGTGCCTGGCTTTGAATTCCTTCAAAATGAATGCATGATTTACACATTTTCATTTGCATGATCTTGCTTTGTAGTGTGACCCACTGTATCTCACTGGTGCTGTTTGTTTTTGTCTCTAAGGTATTTCTGGAAGCCATCCAGTCACCCAGCCCTGCCTTCAGATACTTCACCAGCGGGGACGTGCCACCTCTCACCAAACTGAAGGCCACAGAGCCAGGTGGCTCGCGGTACATCAGTGCTTTGAGCAAAACCATGTTCTCATCTGAGGAACAATAATTGTGCCTCGTTTTCAACCAAGCCACTAGTTGCTCTTCTTTTTTCTTCGTGTACAGAGTTTTATGTTGTTGTTCTCTCAGTTTTGTGTTTTGGAGTTAAAGTGGGGCACTGTGACTCACCGTGGTGACTCAAAGTTCAGTTTTATATTTTAACATGGAGGGACTGCATACTTCTATTTTTGTGAATCACGTTTAAAAATGTATATTCCTTTTCGACAATTTTAAGATTTGAAAAATAAACAAAGTTTTGGTTGTTGGAGACATTTTAAGTAAGTATTATGTTGAGTGAGACAGCAGCTTCTTCATTTTTACCATGTGATAGTGTTGTTACCACACTGGTTGGCATATTTTCACAGGGCGTGCTTCTGGAGAACCACAACCAGAAACCATTGTGTTACTCCAAAGCATGAAACAAAACAAGATGCAGGATTGTTCTCTATAAAATAAATACATTGTATGTTGTTTTCTTTTTTGTGTGTTTTCTGAATGACTTGCATTAAAATTCCCCTTGATGGTTAAATGAACCATGAACTGAAACCAGTTTGTATGATATCTGTTAAACACTCACTGTAGATTGTATGCAAAGTTGGATTTCACTAAGTCTTTGCTCCATATATTATTTATCATAACAGATGTTGTGTGTCACAAGAAGTATGCACACTTTAACTAATAATTAGGAGCAACACATCAAGCCCATTGACCAAAGAAAAGAAAGGAAATATACAGCTTGTAAATGCTTTGGTCTAGTATTGGTGCTGAAATATTATTTCACTTTGAGGTGGATTCTCTCTCATTGATCTATACATAAAGCAAACAGACAATGTCATGTATTATGCAGTTTTAATCCTTAAAATCAGTATACAAATCTTCTCAAAATGACTTCATAAATAGACACAATTATCTAATTCGTATTACCATTATTACCTCTATACCTTTCTATTTAAATAGGAGTTTGAAAGAGTTCATTTAAATTATGAAAAGTTAAGAAATGTCTTTATGACCAGTAAATTGTGAGGAGGAGGTTGAATTGTTTGAATCACTGAACAGATTAAAGACTGTATGAGGGCCAGCTGGAACAACATCCATCACCTGGGTAATATTTGGATCAGTCTTAGGCTGTTTAGCCCATGAGTATTTATATTACCTGAGACAGGTTGCCTGTATAAAAACATTCTGTTTCCAAGATGTCTTTGATAGGACTGACTGAGGATCTTATGTCCCTTTCTGATTACATTCTGTCATTCCAGATTAAAGATCCTGAAATGGAATCCTGCAATACCAGTTCCTACTGTGTGGTACGTCTAAATATAGATGACAACCTTTATTTGTCTGAAGAACTAAAGTCCAGGTGAATCATGCACACAGCATGCAAGCTCTACCATACAGTATCATTTTAGACTTTGGATTTCTCGTGGAAACCCTTTTGAAGGCCAGTGTTCTCAATCAAATAATATGATTTTATTCCTTATCATGTCTCCTTATTATGATGAGAGTAAAACTGTGTAATTTCTGAACTCCAAGTCTGAGGAGATCAGCTTGTAGTCCAATGCATCCCATAATAACAATACTAACTAGGTTTAACTAATATTTACATTTGCAAAATGTTTTGACAAAAATACCTACATTTGATTTTCATTCAAATTGTTAAAAGTGTTTGGTGTCTTGCCACTTACTGTATGAAGGTAGACTTCTGGTGCAGTGTTTCAAAAAGGTGCAATAACATGACATAAAACGTTCCATATGAAAGCTGTTTGATTTTATTCATTTAACACGTCTTCTGAACTTCTTTAATTTTTATTTTTTTTAATCTGGATTCATCTTGGCTTTAAAGAGCCTGTGACAGCATCCCAACAACTGTTGTGCAATGAAATATTGGGCTACTAGTAATCTCGAACCGTCAGTTTAAAAAAGAAAAAGCGATACCGTTCCGTTAAATATCAATAATTTCGAACATCGCGGGGAAATTCCTTCGACTCATTTTGAAGTTTTGGGGGAAGCCGGAAGTGACGTCAATGCGGGAACGCTTCACTGTGTTGTCATGCGTAGAAATGGTGAATTACTGAGTTTAGTCACGTTAATAACGTTTCAATGAAGTTGACTACAGTATATTCATATTTGTCAGTGCTTTCATGTCAATTCGGCGAACATAAACATAAATGATCGTGGTGAAGATGATGATTAAATTAGGATTCAAAATCGGTAGAGAGCTGCTGAATTTCCTCCTGTAGGATGTGATATGAAAACAAATCGATTATTTTTGTAGTTGTAAACTCAAGTGGATGAAACTACATGTATTAGTGCTTTCATGTCAATTCGGCGAACATATGATAGATTAAATGATTGTGAGAATGATGATTAAAAATCGTTTGTTTGAGCCGGTCTGCATTTCCTGATGAGAAAACAAACCGATGCTTTTTGTAGTTGTAGTACACCAACATGGATTAAACGTGTGGTTTTTTCACCACAATGTTGGGGAAATTAATGGATAAAATGCACGGATTATTATTATTATTATTCCCACTCCGATCGGGACACTAGGTCCACCGTTTCCCCGCAGCGAGGCTCCCCCCGTTGACAGTTTACGTGGGCTGGGCTGGGTGCAGTGGCGGACTGGCCATCGGGATTCGTCCCGATGGGCCGGTACCGAAGTGGGCCGGTCGGATAAGTCACTAGCACATCCCCCATAGGCTGCGTGTGAGGCTCAGGTTTGGGAAGGCTAAATAACTTTTTTTACGCCTCCGGCGTCTATAGAAAAAAGATCAACTCAGTGTGCGGAGTTTAAATCTATCAAATCATATTACAGGATAAAGGAAATACAGTTTAAACTGCCGTATGCAGAGAAGACGCCGACGCACTTATCATTCATATTACATCATCAATCAGATCATCGATCATATAATATCATAAAAATATATCATATATTTCCTTATCTCAGTCAGCTTCTCCAGCCGTGCAACACTCACAGTGTCACATACTGTATGCAGAAGTATTATTTTAAGCAACACATTATGTTGACGAAACACTCGAGTCAAATGTAATTAAAGTCAGATCCACTCGTGTCTTAGACGTGAACGCGCTCTCAGCTGGTGAGAGAAACCCTGGCTTGATTTACCGAGTTGATAACCAGCGTCGTAGGACCGCTTAGCGAGATCTCGTTTGTTAGTTTGTTGTTGTTAGTTTGTTTGTTACTCAAACATATCCAGGGACTGTTGAACTGGCTTCGTAGAACAGGGTGGCTAGCAGCGCTAATGTCAAAGACACATACATTGCATTATATTTGTATTTTACCAGGATGCAGTGACACAAATATTTACATATTTACATTTACTATCTACAGCACCCGCCGCCCCTGACATCCCCCACTCCCCCCGTTGACAATTTACTCGCGGTACCGAAGTGGGCCGGTCGAGAGTCCCGGGATGATTTTTAGTCCCATTCCACCACTGGCTACATGACCGTATGATCGCCCATATTGACGCACCTAATTCCTAAACTTCTAACATACAACATAAACCGATCCTTCAGACTCATATGAGCTCTCAGACACGTTCAAAATTAAACTGTCATCGCTGTCTGAGCTTGCTGCTGTGTGCACCATCGTGCGTTTACATGCAGATGCTGGGATCCGGACGGTGCAGCTGGAGCGCTGTGCCCGCAATGACGTCACACATAATTTGGCGGGACTTGAAGAATCCCCGAGAAGATCCAGAAAATGGTCAACATTGAAGGGCAGATTAAGGGTTATCAAAGTACAAATATCCAAAATCAGTTCAGTAACGGTTTTCAAGGGGACAATATTTACTCAAATTGATGGGTTTGGATGATGGGGGAAACTCGTGTCACAGGCTCTTTAAGTTCAAATATCAAGATTTCACTCTGATTGGCTAGAGCATCTCGTTACGTCATTGCTGTCCTTAACTGGGCACTGTGGACAGTAGCGCGGTTCAGTCAAAACAGCCCAGTAGCTGCTGCTGCTGCTGGGGTGGAAATACCGACTTTTCTCATGAGAACCTCTATTAGTCTTTAAAACGTAAACTTCACCATGACCAACAAAGTGACCCCTCTCCTTTTCAAGGCGCTGCTGCAGATGTCTGAAGCACATTACTCAAAAGGTGTACGAGGGACCGGTAAAATAACAAACATCAGGTGAGTGAACACGGGGATTTTTCAAAAGTGATGCGTTCAGGTAGTCGAGGTAGGCGAAATACTAAGGAGCATATTGAATTATACTTGGCACAATATGGGTCGAGCTGTACATTATATGTTAAAATGTATGTTCTTCACATATCCGGCTATGTTTTGTTATTTTGAATTAATTGTAGACTTAGTGGCATGAGTGGCAAGTTAGCCTGTGTGCGTGTGAAGAAATAATTTGCAAAGAGAAACAGTCATGAGACTCGCAGTGAGTCACAATTATAATGCGTCAACTTTACTATCGATATCAAAACTGAAAGAGCAAAAACATGAACATTCGTAAATGGAGAGTAAGTTGTGGCTTGGTTGAAAACAAAGCAGACATACAGTATTGCTCTTTGTCTTGTCTCCTCTTGTGGATGGTTACCACTTGCATTCAGTAAGCTGCCAGCAGTTTTTCTCAGTGAGAAATACTTACTATACATAACTACATACTTAAATATTGGGGACAAATAAATTCAGTTTGTCCACAGAACAAACAATTTCACAACATAAATTATATGGTAACCTGTGCTATTATTAACCCAAACTCTAATTTGGGTCAGTCACATGTCAGATACCCTCACTGAATACACCTGTGATGCTTCTTGTATATTTCCCGCAAACTGATTAATATGTAACCATATATGTTTTTAATTTCTTCCTGTAAGACACTTGTGGGGCTCCTGTGGGGCCCTGGCTGCGAGAAGGACCAGCATGCCTCTCTGCCCCGCCACCCCCCTCAGCACACCCAGCCGCAGCTTCATTAACCTGGCTGCTCTCATCAGCGCTCGCAGGATGGAGTACACTGAGTGCCGGACATTAGGGTGAGCCATCTGACATCCAACATGTTTAAAACCAGTGAAATAAGACAGCAGTCCTTCCAAACCATACAGAATGTAATTAAAAGTGGTGTAATTTCAAACAAAAGGATAAAATATGCAAACATATACAGGTTTTCTTCAAGTGCATGGTAAAGCAACACCTGATCGTAACTTACAATAAGTCAACAGTGATCAAATTAATAATTATTTTTGGTGATGTAAAAAATGGCAGATTAATTGGAGCACAAGATGGAATCATATTTTTTTTTTTAAATAAGAAAATGTATTGAAAATATAACCTAAATACATTTAAAACTTAGCATTAAATATAAATTGGAACTCCAAGTGTTGAATACACACCTTTATGAAGAAATAAACTCATTGGATGTGCCTCTGTCTTCATGTAATGTGTGCTCAGGTTTACTCCAGAGCAGATGTATGATGTGGCAGCCAGTGTGGACCAGTACCAGCACTTTGTTCCCTGGTGCAAGAAGTCTCGTGTCACAAGGAAACAAAATGGTGACGTCCAGGCGGATCTCGAAATAGGTTTCCCCCCCATCGTGGAGCGCTACACCTCTGAAGTCACCGTCATCCCAAATCACCAAGTCAGGGTAAGGAAGTCTTGGTAGCTCCAGGAATGCACCACTACAAACTCCTTTGCCCAAATAATACACTTTGAACTGCAGCGTATGCTCTTTGACATTTTGAAATAAAGATAACTAAAGGTTAATTTATTTTAAAACAGGCCGTGTGTACTAATGGATCCCTCTTCAGCCATCTGGAAACAATATGGAGGTTTGCCCCTGGAGCCAAAGACCTACCAGCCTCCTGCAAAGTCTATTTCTATGTAAGTAATATCTTGACCTGAGAGACATGAGAAAATACATTGAATGTATGAGGAAATGGGAAGGGAACTTATTCTGGATTGAAATTGAATAAAGTAAACCTCAGGGTCAGCCAGGAAGTAGTTAGATTTTAGTTGTTGAAAAAGATGACCAATGAACATGTAAAGGTAGCACAAGTCTGAATGTCAAATACTCTCTGCCACAGACGTCTTGGGTTTTGATTTGTTTGATGATCTGATTTTCACCTCTATACAAATCCTATTGTGACTGTAGTCAGCATGACGTCACCCATTTGTTTGTGTATTATTGTTTGGAAGCCTTGAATTTGTCATCATTGTTAAATCTTTTTTGAAAAAGATTAACTTTAATGACCTTAAAACGCCTATTACAAAGAGTTGAAGATGAAAGAAAAACACTAACAGCACCCAAACCAGAAAACACTTTGGTAGCAGTCCTTTCAATCACAATGGAGCCCCGCCCTAAAGCATACCATGATTTATTTTCTGTTTGACTTTTAAAGTGGAGCATAATTTACGAAATCAACAGCAAGTTGCATTCAAGAGAGTTTAAAACTAGCGATTAAGACCATACAATTGTTAGGAAAATGTTAACTGAGGTGAATACATTACCTCATAGACTTCTATACAATCTGATCTGGTCTCTGCCTCTTGCTGTTCCTGTTTAGAAGGATTTGAGAAGAAATCAATTTAATTTACAATTGAAGATTCTCCCAAACATTTAACTGACGTGTTTGCCCCACTCTTGTTTCCTCTAGGTGTCATTTGAGTTCAAGTCTCTCCTGCACTCTCAGCTGGCCGGCGTGTTCTTTGATGAAGTGGTTAAACAGATGGTCAAGGCCTTTGAGTCACGAGCATCAACTCTTTACAGGAGCCAGCAGGGGGCGCCATTGAGGAGCCGGTCAACATGAGGCGTTTGTCCTCCCATATCATCCACATCCCCTTCAAAGCCTGCTCTTGCTGTTAAAACATGTCCTACAAAGAAGTCACAGAAGGCTGGATCTTCTTTATTTTGCACACAGTCTTAAACTTACATTTACATGCACATTGAACATACTTAAAAACATTATTTATAATTATAAGCCAGTCACAAGCTAATTTATTTATTTTTTCTTGTTAAATTGTGGATTTACAAACAAGTGACAACTGATCAGCGCAGAAACAACAAGTGTTGAGCTATTATTTGTTTGTGGAAATAAAAAGCTCTTATATTGGTTATCCTATGTCCATGTTTTATTAATTGCGTGTATTATTTTAATGTGCTGTTTTTAATTTCCTTTTTTTATCATTGTATCATGGGCCCCAGTGTCTTGGCCTGTCCCACAAAGGATTTCAAGGCCTTTGTGGAATTGGCCAAAAGTTTGACAAACGATAGTGTGCCAACAGGAACAGTTGCATAAGAATAATACGAGTGAACTTAGGCTACAGTCAACACTTCGCTCCTGGCTTTACTCTCATAGGTGATGATCTGTTTTCATGAGAAGAAACATGTTAAAGGTCACCTATTATGCAAAATCCACTTTTTCCTGTCTTTTATACACTGTATAAAGTGTCTACCGGAAGTAGATGGGCGTGACTTCGCCACTCTATAAAAGGGCCGAAATCAAGTCAGTTAATGCCTTGAATCTAAAACATTTTAAAATCTTAGTCATTTTGGCCCCAGGTGTTTGTCTTCTTAACCAGAAATACGAAGTGATTATTAAGAAATGTTTACTCAGCTCACTGAGAGGTTCTATATGTATCACTATAATCCACTGGTTATTAGGCAACACGCCCAGTTGATAATGTCTGCTAATGAAAACGCATGTGTGTGCCATCAGGGTTACTCAGCATTAAGTGTCTTCTTTTTTTAATTCACTAGGTCTCATCCCATCATCACTCGGGGTAATCCTCCGAACCATGGACGGGATTGTGTGGGCGAATGAGTTTGAGCGTGTATAACACTGTATAAAAGACAGAAATCCCCTCTGTGTAAAGAGATTCTGAAAGTTTCAGGAAAAAAGATTCGCTCACTTTTTGTCCTGATCCATTTATATAAAACCTGTCTGAAAATGAGCTGATCAGATTTTGGCCACTTTATGATGTCATAACGAGTTTTTGGCTTGTGTAACCATTAGCCAATAACAAACCAAGGTAACCCCCCACCGTATCACCTGAATCTCCTAGAGCACCAATAGGCGCATTCACACCGCAGTACTTTTCCCACAAAGGTTCATGAGAACTCTTTAGTTCATGAGAACTCTTTAGTTCTCATGAACTAAGTACAGATCGCGTTCACACCGGAATAAGTCCCTGGGGGTGGATTAGGCAAATGAAGCCGTTGACGTCACTTCTTCTTCTGCTTTGGGTTTACTGGCAGGCCGCAAACCACTTCACGGCGTATACTGCCGCCCAAAGTCCCCGGAGTTGGGGACTGGCTTCAGTAGAAGCTGCTGGGACTCCCAGCAGGATTCCTCATGGGTCCTTTGATCTTATATATTTTTGTACAACTCTGGAAATACCTCTTGTTATGGGGGAGACGTAAAGCATGGACACACTTTCCCGTTTGTACTTGGTAGCCTACTGTTAAAATGGTTACAAGTAAAGATTGTAAAAATCTGCTACACGTGTACTTTAAACGTCCCCTATTAGGCCTATACTGTTTTTCATTACTTTATAATAGGTCTCAGATATATACAAGCTGCTGGCACTCCCAGCAGCTTCTACTGAAGCCTTCCGAGTAAATCGCCAGAACGCCGACACCTCCTCATCTCCACCACTCCCATGTTTTATTTTGTGTTGCCATAAGTTAGTCTCTCTGCGTTTCTGCGCTGGGCTAATGCTAATGCGAGGATAATAAAATGGCGGCTTCACAAAACTTTTCGGGAGTTTTGCGGGGCGTGGTTTGCAATCCGCCCAGCCAATCAGAAATATAGCTCTTTTCTCACAAGAGAGCCGCTCGAAAGTCCCTGCTCTCTAGCAGGGACTTTCCTGGGGGTAAAAAGGTTCTCATGAACTCATTTTAGTACCGGCTCTTTTTGGTGTGAACGCGACAAAAGAGTTCTCATGAACTAAGTTCTCATGAACCTTTGTGGGAAAAGTACTGCGGTGTGAATGCGCCTAATGTGTTATTTTTAACCAAATATCTCTCAGAGAGGAATGGCACCTTATTTTCATTCTAAAGTAACAGACAGAGAATCAGCACTTTTGAAACGGGGCTGAAACAGAGGGGTTTATGGGATGCTACAATTATCTGTTTGGTATTTGGAGCCAAACACGTCAGAGACTTGTTTTGTATATATCTGAGACCTATTATAAAGTAATGAAAACCAGTATAATAGGGTACGTTTAAAGTACACCTGTAGCAGATTTTTACAATCTTTACTTGTAACCATTTTAACAGTAGGCTACCAAGTACAAACGGGAAAGTGTGTCCATGCTTTACGTCTCCCCCATAACAAGAGGTATTTCCAGAGTTGTACAAAAATATATAAGATCAAAGGACCCATGAGGAATCCTGTTGAGATTTCAAGGATTCACACATAATATAGACAACATCTGTTTGTGTTTCTCTTGTGGCAATAATGCACAGAGGACAGAGAGTTGGCCTCTAATGGCACATTTCCACTGCAGCGGGGTAGCCCCGTTTGAGCGTCCTCGCTCAGGCCTCGGGCTGCCTCGCTGGCCGTCCGAGACCGTGGCGCATTGCCATTACAGTTTAGGATCTGGGGCTATAGGCCATGGATGTATAATAAGAACTGGATACAGCGTGGGAGGCGGGGCCTCATTCATTCCTATGAGAGTTGCTCAATAGCGCATGATGACAAAATGGCCCAACTTTTGAGAGAGCGAAACGTCACAGATTACCCGGCATGCCTGAGAAGTACCCGTATGTGCGCTCATAGCGCATGCGCAACTTTAACCACGCCGCCCAAAAGGCTCGTTCACATTAAGCACGTGAATTTGCGTACACGTAACAGCACCGCGCGTTCATGACAGCATGGTACTGGATTTATATTAACGAAGCGGCAGTTAGCAGCTAGCTAGTAAATGATGCTAACTTACACATCAATCGTTATGTACTTTTATATTACGCTGACATCAGGATCTAGTGATATCCAAGCAACAGAGCTTCATTTAGCATGATACTTGTGTGGGTTGTACATGAAACCACTTGGTAATATATAAAAATGTATATGTATAAGCCTGTTATGATCAATTGTGAGTTAAATCTTTATCTAAAAAGTCAAGCTGACGATGGATTACTGTGGTGGAGTTAAAATAACAATAGCCTATTTCTTTTTTAAATGTGATGGAGTAAAAGGATAGTAACTGTGATTATTCATGTTAAGTAGCCCACAAGTAACTAAAACGTATAATACTTGAAGGAAAGGTGTAAAATGTTCCCATAAATACCAATATCACAGTACAACACCCCTTGTTGTTAAATACCAACCATGTGTATATATATATATATATAAATATGCCGCTAAAACTGTGTAATATACCTGGCTGCTAAATCCTCCAAATTGTTACAGGATGTGTATTTTGTGAAATGTGTATTTGTTTTTAATTATAATTTCTTGTTTCGAATCTTTAACCCTCTATGGCATGACTTTTTATTTTGGGAGGAAAAAAACGTTTCACCATGTGTTTTAGGAGCTTAGGGGTCCCTGATATTATATCAATTATAAAATGTGACCCCCCCTCACCCCTCAACCAGGGGTTGGTTTGTTGCCTCAGGGCAACACTGTGCTACGAGGGTATTGAAACACCAAGGATTTCTACCATTCAGAAGAAATAGAAAAAACAACTCTATATGAATTCAAAAGGTTTTCTCTGTGTGTGTGTGTGTGTGTGTGTGTGTGTGTGTGTGTGTGTGTGTATGTGCGTGTCTGTGTGTGTCTGCATGTGTGTGTGTTTGTGTGTATGTGTTTGTATGTCTCTGTGTGTGTGTGATATGATTTTGCCTGGAAAAAAGTGATCAAGTGGCACAGTGTTGCTCTGAGGCAACGAACAAAAAAACATAGTTTTAGCTAATTAATAAATACATAAGTCTTCAAACAATCAAATATACTTATTTACGTATTCATGCACATGCATGTATTTTTTATTTTAAGTTGTGTACATTTCTAATATGTTAAAAAGTGAAATGTATCTTACCAAGTGGTGGCCCTGAGTCCCCTGCAGTTTTGCTTGCAGAAAGGACTGCTCCACCCCCAGACAAAATGCCACACCCATATAATTCCCTCATTGTATTGGACACCAGCATGTCAGGTGACATTGTGTATATTTAAAAAAATAAAAATATTTAGTGGGCCAGTGTGAGGTCGAAAAAAGTGGTTTGTTGCCTGAGGGCAACAGTATGCGGTAGAGGGTTAATACTTTTTTTATGCATACTTTAAGTAACATTAGGCTGTCTTTGGCTCTTTTCTGCTGTAACAATGTAAATGTATTCTGATCTAATTGATGTTTTTGTCAGTTTGTTTCCCTATATTGCGACACTTATTTGGTTTAAGATTATTTCTCCTTTTTTTTTTTACAGACATCCCCAACCATAGTGGAATGCTGTTGTAAAGGATTGCATTGATCCGTGCATCAATACCTTCACCCAGCTTTGAGGCCTCCAATGAATGAACATCATCTTGTGGCTGGGAAAAATGTGAACAAATAAATCTCACAAAGAGTGACTTTCTGGTGTAATCATTATAATATCAAAGACAAGCACTTTAAGTAACAATATATAAAATCATTCAGCAGCAGAGGATGGGGTGGAAACAGCAAATCTAACTAAGATGATTACAATATTACAAGTTAAACATCAAGATTAACATACTATTATTCATTTAAAAAGTACATGGGAGACTTAAATATCCTGCAATATACCATTAGCAGAATAGGAACAAATGTGCCAAAACATTTCTAAAATAAACATAAACTGAGTGCTTTCTTCCTGAGCCGCTGGGAGTAAAGGTCCTCCATGGATGGCAGCTCCGCCCTGGTGATGTTCTGTGCAGTTTTCACCACCCTTTGGAAAGCCTTACGATTGAGGGCGGTGCAGCTGCCGTAACAGGCCGTGATGCAGCCGTGTCCGTGATGGACACTGAAGAACCTGAAGCTGCTGACTCTCTACCGTAGTCCCATTGATGGCGATGGGGGGCGTGTCCCTCTCTTTGCTGCTTCCTGTAATCCACAATCAGCTCCTTGGTTTTGCTGACGTTGAGATGGAGGTTGTTATCCTGGTACCAAGATGTCAGGTTTTCGACCTCCTCTCTGTACGCCGTCTCGTCGCCGTCTGTGATCTGGCCGATGACGGTTGTCTGTTACGATCTCAGGCACTTAGGATGTTGGACCCAATTGCAGACAGGGAGACAGAGGTAAAGTATTGGTAAGATACTTTATTTTTCCAAGAAAACACGATGAACAAAAAAAGGTCACTAACTAATCTCAGGATGAGATGACAAAAAATGAGACCAAAAGGAAAATCGCTCACGTAGTGAGGAACAAAACTATTCTTGAGCATAAAAGAGCATAGACTTGACCATGGCAAGAGACAATACGAACTGACACTGAACACTGGGAGACAGGGGAATTTAAACACAGGGTAACTAGACACAGGTGGGTACAATCAGGGGCGGGGCTGACACTGATGAGCACAGGAGACACACAAGGAGTGACAGGTGAAAACAATCAGGAAATTAGACACACCAGGGAACTAACGACAGACATGAAAACACAGGGAAAAGAGTCCAGACAATATACAGGGAGGAAAACATGACAAGGAGAACGGAAAAACACCCACACCTAGACATAGACACGTGACATGACATAATAATCCTGACATTGTGTCGTCAGCACGTAGGTCCATACCAGTGTCTTGAAGTGGCTGCGCTTCCTCCTGGGCAGCATCCAAAATGGAGAAGAAAGAGAACAGACACACCACAGCTGGGTGAGGCTGGGGAAGATGAGTGAGGGAAAGAGAGAAAAAAAACAGGGGGACTAAGATGAGTGAGGGAAAGAGATAAAAAGACAAGGGGACTAAGATGAGTGAAGGAAAGAGATAAAAAGACAAGGGGACTAAAGTTTAAGAGAGAGGAAGAACACAGAATGTGAGTGAACAATTTAATTAAATTACACATTTAAAAAAAATAGTGTGAGTAAGTGAAGACATCCTTACAAGGAGGACTGCCTTGTCAAATTTAAATGTTATTCTTGTTAAATATACATATCCTGTTGAGGCTAGAATCCAAAATGCAGAACCACTTTAGATTGTAGCCTCAAGGGACTGTTTAAGGTTACTTATAAACATATAATTTCCCAAATTGGTGAAATGAACTCCATCTCTTGGAAATATGCCAGGGCAGTCAAACGTAATGCAAGGATGCCTTACACTCTACCCAAACCACTAACACATTTACCCATCTCTCTGTTCACCCACATTCTTGCCTTGTACAGCTTTCCCGGATTGGCTTTCCTCCAGTGACATCTCTCATTGATAGAAGATAGAATTATCTTCATCTCTGAGAAGTTGTCACTGAGTGAAAGCAGGTCCTGCTTCATCGCTGTGACAAGCTCCACACCTTTGATGTTGCCAAGGTCGTTGCCGCCACAGTGGATGAGCAAGACATCCGGTACTGTTCTTCCTCTCAAGGACTGATAGAAAAAGGGAAGAAGGTTCCTCCACCTCAGACCACCCTTGCCAAACCACCACACACGGCAATTGAGACCCAGGTTGCTTCCCATGGTGTGTCTGGCTCTTTCTTCCCCACGTCTAACGTAGCTGCTCCCTATTATCCACACATTGGGACCTAGATAGAATAAAATATATTGAAAAAGGAAAAAAAAGTGTTTACTGGTGATCATCTTTTAGAAAAAGGCGGTACATGTAGCCTGAGTTGTCATATCATTTTCATCATATTTTTAAGACTACACAAGTTTAATTTGTATATTATATTACATATAACTCTATACTTGTATATAGAATCATGATGAAACTTTATAAAGATTAAGATTATATATTAATATTACATTAAATAATGCATGACGATTTCATGCATTATTACGAAGCAGGATGTATCAAGTCACTGACTTTTTGTGATAAGGTCACAATCAACTGAATTCACTTATCAGATGTAAAAATAAGATACAATATATTTGTTTTTGCCATATGAAAGTAAAGGGTATGCAATCAAAAAATTACTGAAACAAAATGAATAAAAATTCTTATACAAACTATACAGCACCTTGTCCAAGTATGGCGGGAGGCCCACTTTCCTTCAGGATTTCCTCTCTGGATGACGATCCGGCTATTTCTGCCATCTATAAATAAAGTACAAATGATTAGCTCTTCACGCCTCTTTAAAATAATATGTGTTCTTGAAGATTCTGTATGCATGGTCGTTTACAATGGTAGGGACATTGCATTGGAAATTAGTTGTGAAAAATACATGTCATTTTTAGTTTTTTCATCTCACATTTATAGATTTTAAATAGAAATATATATATATATAAAACGAATTATAAATGCAAAGTCTGGTTTCTAGAAAGTTAGCTAATGCATACAGAGTTAACATTGCAGAACTGCTGGCATGCATACATTTCTAGCATTTTGGTTAACTATGAAAAGTATGGAAAATTACTGTGCAAACACCCAACATTAGCTTAGCCACAGTAGCGGTTGCTGATGAGTGGTTTGGCTTATTTTACTCTTTTATATGAGAACATGTTACATTACATACAGACATTAAGGAGGCAGGTTAGAAAATAAATATGTTTTCGTCTCTTACCTTTTGGAGCAAACTGTTGTCGGTTGTTAGCATAGACTGTCTGTATATACGAGGGAGGCAAAGAGGAGGCAAATCCTACTCTGACTGAGCTGGTGTCTTATTTATCTTTTATTTAGTTTTCTAGCCCCTCATGCTATAATCATGTGTATTTTCTCCATTCCTGTTCATGTGTCTTCTCGCAATTATCACTGGCCCCGTGTATCTCCTAATCGATATAACCGGCCTGCTCTCGTCTATCCCACGTGCTCCACTGAGATCCAACATCTAGTTTCTGGTGGCCTGTGGAATTGCCAGTCAGCTGTTCCTAAGGCTGACTTCATCTCTGGCTACGCCTCCCTGCAGTCTCTGGATTTCCTTGCTCTCACTGAGACCTGGATTACTCCATCCAACACATCCACCCCAGCAGCTCTCTCCACTGCATATTCCTTCTCCCATACACCCAGACCCACTGGCAGAGGAGGTGGCACTGGTCTCCTGCTCTCTCCCAAATGGAGCTTTTCCCTCTTCAAGCTACCTAACTTCACTCCTTCCACCTTTGAATTCCATGCCGTCACAGTAACCCATCCTATACAGTTAACCATTGTTGTTCTCTACCGTCCACCAGGCGCCTTGGGGGACTTCTTGGAAACTGAAACTGGCCCTCCCGCTGTACTTCTCGGAGACTTCAACCTCCAGACGGGGAAGATAGACGAACTAACATCTCTGTTAACCGCCTTTGCTTTCTCACTGTCTCCGTCCCCACCGACTCATAAATCTGGCAATGTCCTTGATCTCATATTCTCAAGGAACTGCGCTACTTCTAACCTCTCTGTAAACCCGCTCCACACATCCGATCACTTCTTCATTTCATTCTCTCTATCCCTTTCCAAACATAACAAACTAATCTCTTCCCATCCTGCACTTGTCCGCCATAACCTTCGCTCCCTCTCCCCCTCTACCTTTGCCTCGTCGGTGCTCTCAGCCCTCCCTTCCTCTGATTCGTTCCAACTCCTGCCTCCAAACTCTGCTGCAGAAACTCTCCGCTCTACTCTCTCATCCACTCTGGACTCGCTCTGTCCTCTCACATCTCGGCAGGCTCGTCAGTCCCCTCCTGCTCCCTGGCTAAATGATGCACTGCGTGCTAATAGAACCGTCCTTAGGGCAGCAGAGCGGAAATGGTGGAAATCCAAACACCGTGACGACCTCCTAACCTATCAAGCTCTCCTCTCCTCTTTCTCTGCTTCGATCTCTCAGGCAAAAAGCACTTTCTTTCAAGATAAGATCCAATCTTCCTATTCCAATCCTAAAAAACTATTTTCCATCTTCTCCACCCTCTTGGACCCTCCAAAAGCTCCTCCCCCCTCCTCACTTCTGTCAAGCGACTTTGTTACCCACTTTGAAAAAAAGGTTGATGATATTCGCTCTTCTTTTTCTGACTCACCTTTACTCACCGCTGGGTCACCAGACCCTCCTTCCACCAACACACTTACCTCCTTTTCCCCTCTCTCTCCAAGTGAGGTTCTTACCCTCATTACCTCTGCCCGCCCTACCACCTGTCCTCTGGACCCTATCCCTTCAAACCTCCTTCAGACTATCGCTCCTGATATTCTACCGTTTCTCACCCATTTCATCAACACTTCTCTAACTTCTGGTCACTTTCCAAACAGTCTCAAGGAGGCAAGAGTAAACCCTCTCCTAAAGAAACCCACTCTCAACCCGTCTGATGTTATAAACTACAGGCCTGTCTCTCTCCTCCCGTTCCTGTCTAAATCACTTGAACGCGCTGTCTTTAAACAACTCTCCTGTTATCTCAATCAGAACAACCTTCTGGATCCGCACCAGTCTGGTTTCAAGGCAGGTCACTCCACAGAAACTGCTCTCATTGCTGTCACGGAGGAACTGCACACTGCCAAAACTGCATCCCTCTCCTCTGTCATCATCCTGTTGGACCTGTCTGCTGCATTCGACACGGTGAATCATCAGATCCTCCTTCGCACTCTCCAAAAACTTGGAGTTTCAGGCTCTGCACTGTCCCTCCTCACCTCATACCTGAAAGACCGTACCTACAGGGTGACTTGGAGAGGGTCTGAGTCCGACCCTTGTCAATTAACTACGGGGGTCCCTCAGGGCTCTGTTCTTGGTCCCCTCCTCTTCTCCCTGTACACAAACTCACTCGGATCAGTCATTAGCCCGCATGGTTTTTCTTACCACCGCTACGCTGATGACACCCAATTAATTCTGTCCTTTCCCCGCTCAGAGACCCAGGTCGTTGCACGCATCTCTGCTTGTCTAGCTGACATCTCTCAGTGGATGTCTGCTCACCACCTCAAGCTCAACCTTGACAAGACTGAGCTGCTCTTCCTCCCGGGAAAAGATTGTCCCACTCTTGACCTAACAATCAACATCGGCACCTCAGTTGTTTCCCCAACTCAGACTGCAAGGAATCTGGGTGTGACCCTAGATAACAACCTGTCCTTCACTGCAAACATCGCTGCTACAACCCGTTGCTGCAGATACACGCTTTACAACATCAGGAAGATACGTCCCCAGCTGACTCAGAAAGCGACTCAGGTTCTGGTCCAGGCTCTCGTCATCTCATGCCTAGACTACTGCAACTCCCTCCTGGCTGGTCTACCTGCATGTGCCATCCGACCTCTGCAGCTCATCCAGAATGCAGCGGCTCGTCTGGTCTTCAACCTTCCTAAATTCTCCCACACCACTCCGCTCCTCCGCTCCCTTCACTGGCTTCCGGTAACTGCTAGAATCCACTTCAAGACACTGGTACTTGCTTACCATGCTGCGAATGGATCTGGCCCTTCCTACATCCAGGACATGGTTAAACCGTACACCCCAGCGCGTGCACTACGCTCTGCATCAGCCAAACGACTCGTTGCGCCCTCGCTGCGAGGGGGACCCAAGTTCCCATCGGCGAAAACACGTGGGTTTGCTATCCTGGCTCCAAGATGGTGGAATGAGCTCCCCATTGACATCAGGACGGCAGATAGCTTGCACATCTTCCGGCGCAAACTGAAAACTCATCTCTTTCGACTCCACTTTGAGTGTTAGAACTATTAACGAAGCACTTTTATACTAATAAAGGACTGGCTTACCTAAAGCCAGTTGAGTAGCACTTGAAATGTTTGGCTCTATGAAACCTGATGTACTTATATGATTCTGTTTTCTTCAAGGTTGTGTCTTCCTGGTCGAATGTACTTATTGTAAGTCGCTTTGGATAAAAGCGTCAGCTAAATGCAATGTAATGTAATAATGTAATGTAATAATGTAATGTATATAAAGCGTTGTCTCTTTAGCCTCAGTGACGTGACAGTGAACACTGAACGTGACCGCGTGTGAAGGGGGAGGGGCGCGGGGGATTTAGGTCTGGGCTGCGCTAAATTCAGCCTCTCTTTCCAACATCTCCTGTGGCGGCCATCCACATTCTATACTATTCTATACTTCCTTCTATATATGTATGAGCTCTGTATGTGTTTTATTTTCCTTATGACTGTTGTAAGTAAACTTTTTTATTCTATACTTCCTTCTATATATGTATGAGCTCTGTATGTGTTTTATTTTCCTTATGACTGTTGTAAGTTAACTTATTTATTCTATATCTTCTTCTATATTTGTATTTGAATGTATGTCACAGTCCTCTGTTTATTTATTGTTAAGCAACGCAACACATGGTTTTCAACAGTGGAACGATTTATGTGAATGTCAACAGCAACATCCCAAGCTTCTTTCTAGCCAATATTCATTATGTTATTTGTACCTTCAACTGTAACTGAAAGCTCAATTTGGTGTATTGTGTTTGCAAGTCTGTGTTCAACATACTACTTGGAGTACGCTTAACGCGGCACAAGTCTATACTGAACATGGACACGCAAAATTCTAAACATGTATTTTTTCATATCTGATACCAAATCTTGCAGCAATATTGCCACACTGGAGATGTATATTAGTTATTTAGAGTTTAGTGTTCAATGTATTCAATGTGTTAAATGTATTCAATGTGTTAAATGTATTCAATGTGTTAAATGTATTCAATGTAGGCCTATTCAAAGTATTCAATGTATTCAATGTGTTAAATGTATTCAATGTGTTAAATGTATTCATTGTATTGTATTAAAATAACTATCCAAACATTTTATATGTAAGTTATTTATATGTATGTAAGTGTTGTCTCGTGTGTATGTACTGTTTGTGATCGTTGTTGTGTCCTCACTCGTGGCCTGCACCATGGGCTTTAAACTAAGACAGGCCATTTTTGTTTGAAATATCATGCTAACAAACCTGCAATTACAGAATTGAATGATAGTGGTTATATTATGTTCATGTCTTGCTGACATTATTACAATTTTAAAATGGTTCTCCTCTCTCCTGCAGTCAGCTGTGATTCCAGGTGTCCATGCTGCCCCCCCCCCCCTATTTTGTTCACCTTGTTCTACTATGCCAGCCATCAGAGGTATACATTTGTTAACATCTCTTTTAGGTATTTTTGTGAATTTCTATATAAAATGCTAATTTCTACCTGAAATGCTTATATATTTTTAATTACATTTTCGTAAAGCTTTCACTTTTTCAGCGGAATAAATATTATAACTGGTTTTGTTCAGCATTGCCAGCTTCACTGTTGAGCGTGATGTTGTGCCCAGCATTCTCCTGTCCTGTGCTCTGAAATCAAAATGTGGATAAGAATAAAACAACACTAAAATAAACACTACAATACAACTTGTAAAACTTTTGAAAAAACACAAGGTTGTTCATTTGTGTGTATACATATACAACACAGGCAATATACATAAATATATATATATATATATATATATATATATATATATATATATATATATATATATATACAATTATAATTAATACAATTGTTAATTTGATTAGAGCTTTGACACATATCTTTATTGGTATAAATATGACGACTTAATATATAGTCGGCCTAATAGCAAACAGCTACGTTCAACTCTTTTAATGGTATATTGCAAGTGTAATAAGAAGCTACAGGAACGTTAATCTACGTCGGTAATATTATTAACTTTATTTAATACAAC